TATAATATAGGATTTACGGACACGGTCATCTAAATGCCATCGCGGTTCAATGTAAAGTATAATTGAGCTAACAAGGAAAGACGTAAACGTGAGAGTATGAGAATATTATGTACGTAGCCTTAATCGAGGAATGACTGGACTCCGAAAGAAAAATGAGAAACGGAAAAAAAATACGGAAATAATGTTGCGTTCTTTCGCGCTTCAGGTATTCGCTGATTGGAGGAGAAAAAGGATCGATAAGGAGATAAAACCGACGGATGCTATATTTAAATATTCGTAATTGGATTAGGTTAATTGCGCCGTGAAGTATAATATCGTTCGGGAAGCAGGGTGGTATCGTACAAACGAATCTTTTTCATTTCATTTCAGTGACACGATACTTTTACGCTGCACGTGTCTCGCTGGACGCCGTCTATCCGAAATTTTGGACACAGATAATCGAATGGTGCTGAAAAAAATACACGGAAACACACACACGCGCGCGTGCATATACAACTGGAACCCCCCTGCTTCCGGTCGGAAAAACCGTCGACGTGCATATAATCTCATTCTACGAATTAATTCGCGCGTTTCTGTTGGTGTCGCTGATTAAACGCTGTTCCTTGCGGATACTATTATTAGTAATTATTGAATTTTCGCCAAGTGAGAGTCAACGAGCGATTAATTATAATTACCAAAACGACGGGATATACGTGCGACAATTATAGCGCGGTTATTTATTGTATTCAACAACAGGGTAAACTTAAAAAAAAGGAGAAAGGGAAGAAGAATACTTTAAATTCGGACGCGTGTCATGTCGAACGGCGGCCATTTTGTTTTTCTGTGCGCGGCTGTGCGTGCGCGCAATAGAAGAAACCGAGAACAATGTGGAAACTTAAAGTAAAAATAAAATAAACGAACGAGTCAATTGTTACGAACGTTAGCAATACTTCGTCATGACCACAAGGAATAAAAAATGGCAAATAATGAACAAAAAAAAAGAGAAAAAAAGAAGAGGAGAGAAACGAAGCGGAGAAATAATACTGTACACTATATCGCGGTTAATTGTATTCTTAAGTTGATGACGCGAGTACGCGTGACGAGCGAGATCGCTCGTCCTCTGAAAGCAAATGGCTGTTCACCCCCGAGAAGCTGAAAGGTGATAACAGAACGGACTGCTGTCGCGTGTGTCTTCGACGCTATAACGCCGACTTCTTGCAAGCGAAACAAAATGGTAGCTGTTTCGTTACGCCCCCCGGACTAACAATAAATGCGTGTAAAAAGTGTATGTATTGGACTGAACGTGGTATTCAGGGAAGATCAGCAAAAAGGAAAGGGGAGATAACATGAAATGAAGAAAGTATCGGATGATAAATGAATAGAGTTGCATACATCGAGAGATATGGGAAGGGGATACAGCATAGGCGAATGCAAGAAATCAGACAAAGAGATAAGCGTTCCATTGTAAACGATGCCTCGATTTCAACATTTTACATTTCGTTTTTGTCGGTCATCCTCCGGATTTGTAGGAAAATGTTTCTGGGTATAAGAAAGTAGCATATAATTAGCTATTGCTACGGTTCTGCAGACTCTTTTGTGTAACTTTACTCCGTTATTATGATTACTGGACATAGAATTGTGTTCAAGGAAATAACGAACTGCGTCGAGCCCTTATTTCGTCAACAAAACACGCTTAACAGACGCTAAGGTGGACTTCACGAGGGAATGGGAAACACATATATCAGAACACACAACACCACGGTTCAAAGTACGTAAGATATAATGAGATTCATCGTACGTAGATGTAAGGGACGCTGATGTACGTGGTCGCAGCAGAATGGCGAAATAGAAAACGGAAGAAACACACAAGAGAATAGAGAAAAGGAAGCAGTCATACTTAAGTGTACAAGTTGTAACTTTTCACAGTTAGGCTGAAAGGATTTTGGGTTCCTGGCCATTGCTGCCAATTCATCGTTTCGACCTATTGATGAACGAATTTATGCAAATCGAAATTTATTTATTACGAACTCGCAGCGAATTTTATAACATTTAGAAGTTTAATTCAACTTGTCATATGGATAGGAAACGATTGATGCTAAAGAGATGGATATAGTCATTTATTTTGAAAGAAACACACTATAATTTGAACATATGGGTTTATTTCCTGTTAACGATCAAACGAGGCTATAAAATACAGCAGGAACCCAAGCGACTTTCGACGTGAATCCTCTGGATGAGAATTATAATATATAAATATATACATATTCGAAAGAGATCTACGATCAATTATTAATTAGAAGATGCAAAGAAAGGGAATGCGATCGATATGCATGTGAGTTAATGCAAACAGGCAAATGATAGAAACAAGAGGGGAAAGAGAAGGTAGAAAGATGCGAGGTGTAGGGAAGACGAAACAGGAGCAAACAAAGAATATATGTGAGTACAGTCCACGCGTTTATATTTATAAATATGAAATACATTAATATTGAAATATTACGTCTATATCTACATCTAGTATATATATAAATATATATAAATACAAATATAAATATATATAAATATAAATATACATAATGAACGATTAAGAAAGGCAAGAAAATATATTATGTCTATATTATAAAACGATTAATGCGAGAAACAAAACAAACAAAACAAAAATATGAGGATTATGAAGATGAACAGATATATTGAGACATTGTTTTATGCATTTGTATATATATAGTTATTGATGTTTTAAAAAGCTAATTATACTATTGTACTGAAGAAATTTTTCGATCACCACCGATCGTGAGAGAGAGGGGGAGAGAGAGGGGGAGAAAAA